CCTTTCCGCCCGCCTCACATCACGGAATCCAGCGTCAGGGTTTGCATATTAATGACGACGGGAACATGGATCGGAGACTCGGCCTTTCCGACCGTGACTACCAACTCGTGAGCAACGCGGAGCGAAAACAAGGTCTTTCCGCCTGCTGCACATAGTACATATTTAAAGGTAGACTGGAGACTAGGCCTCGCCAGCTACCAAACTAGTTAGACAATATACATTTATATAGGTTATTTGATAGTTTTAGAAACATAAACAGCTTTGTAATTGAAAATTTAAACTTACATATACGCATACATTGTTATATATTAAAAATACCTATCTGTACTTTTAAGTCGCAAGACTGTAACAAATAAATAAATAAATAAATTTTCTATTTTAATAGAAAAAGAGGCGACCACCGCGGCACTAAGAATCCTAAACACTTCTGATCTGAAGATTGGAAATATGACGGGCCACATGAGAGTCCTAATGAAGTTCGCCAATGACCCCATTTTGGAAATGCGTGACGCAATAGCCACAAAACTAGAAATCTCTAGAAAATTTGAGGTACACATTGCAGATCGAGCTCTCTGGGATACAGGGAACCCATACAGCAAACCAAATGGAGAGCTTTGGTACACAGATGGATCTAAACTTGATAGTGGTAGAACTGGGGCTGGCATATCTGGGCCGACACCGATGGGTACCCAACTATCTTTCAAGTGGAGCAAAGATTGCCTTAGAAGAGGCACATCCTCGAAATATATCTACATTTTGTCGGACAGTCAGGCAGCCCTACTGGCACTGAAGGCTCACAAAATAAATTCCCAGCTAGTATATGGTAGCTTTAATCTTCTAAACGGCCTTGGTGCCAAAAATACTGTTTTATTAGGATGGGTACCGGGGCATGAAGGACATGATGGCAACGAGGAGGCTGACTGCCTAGCGAAGCTAGGAGCTACCGGAGTATTTAATGGTCCAGAACCATTTTGTGGGCTCACTAAAGCACACATAAAGCAGATCATAAATAACTGGGTAGACAAAATGTTCAACAGACAGTGGATGGAATATCCAGGGCAGAGACAAGCCAAACGATTTATCTGCCCTTCAAAAGAAGCTTCAAAAAAACGACCCAACTTAGGCAGAGAATGCCTAAAAACTCTCACTGGATACTATAAGGGACATTGCTGCCTTCGCTATCCCCTCAGTAAAATGAATCTTTCAGAAACAAATGTCTGCCGCATCTGTGAGCTGGATGAGGAAACGCCAGAACACATTCTCTGTGAATGTGACGCTATTGCTAGGCGCAGACTAGCTCACTTGGGTGGTGCTACATTTAATCCGTTTGAAATCTGGTACAAAACGCCCTTGAAAGTGCTAGGTTACATTAAAAGCCTTCCCCTATAGGGCACAGGGTTACGCACAATAAATCACTTCAGAGGACGCGGTGCATATGGCCTAGAGTGTTTGAAAAAAAATTTTTTTTTGGAAATTCATAAACGCTACCTCAAGTTATTGTTATTTGTGATAAAAAAAGAGAAACCTGTTTTTTTGTTTTGAAAGAAATGTTTTCTTAGAGGTCGTGCTGGTCGGTTTTTTATAAAAACGCTGATGTTCTCATTTTTTTTAATTTTCTTGACATGTTAAAATGCAGCTAAAAATTTGTTTTTTACATATAATTACTCTAGTATTATTGTGGAACATTCCCTTAATTACATACCTGTCTTGGGCAGTTAGAATGGGCTTAGTACCCGAAAATATGCTCTCGAAAAGAGACTAGTAAAATTAAAACGTTGATACTGAACGATTTACGCATTGTCATGGGTTGGGACTTATCACCAGGGGGTTACTGGGGTTGCTAATTAGGAATCTGAAGTCAGTTTTTCAAAATTCAAAATGGCGGATCCAAAATGGCGGTCCATTTTTTTTTAATTATTGGATTTGTTCGAAACCCGGCACTCGACAGTTTTTGGGGTCGCCGATTACGAATTCAAAATGGCGGATCCAATATGGCGATGAAATTAAAAAAAGTAGTAAAATTAAAACGTTGGTACTGCACGTTTTAAACATTGTCAAGGGTTGAAACCCTTTTTTTCAAAATTCAAAATGGCGGTTAATAGTTTCAAACAAATCAAATCATTTTATTTGCATCAGATTCGCAATCAGCAACCCCAGAAACCCACTGGAAACGTATTTTAACCTTTGACAATGTTTACACCGTTCAGTATAAACGTTTTAATTTTCGTAGTTTTTTTTAAATTTCATAGCCATATTGGATCCGCCATTTTGAATTAAAAAAAATTGACTTCAGATTCGTAATCGGCGACCCCAAAAACTCTCAAGTGCCGGGTTTCGAACAAATCCAATCATTTAAAAAAAAATGGACCGCCATTTTGAATTTCGAAAAACTGACTTCAGATTCCTAAATAGCAACCCCAGAAACCCCCCGGCAACAAGTTCCAACCCATGATAATGCGTAAATCGTTCAGTATCAACGTTTTAATTTTACTAGTGTCTTTTCGAGAGCATATTTTCGGGAACTAGACCCATTCTAATTTTCCAAGACAGGTGTGTAATTAAGGGAAAGTTCCCCAATAATACCAGAGTAATTATATGTAAAATCCACATTTTTAGCTGCATTTTAACATGTCAAGAAAATAAAAAAAATTGAGAACATCAGCGTTTTTATAAAAAACCGACCAGCGGGACCTCTAAGAAAACGTTTTTTTCAAAATTAAAAAATACGTGTCTCTTTTTTTTAACACAAATAACAGTATTCTGATGTAGCGATTATGAATTTCCAAAAAGAGTGTTTTTATGAACCACTATAATATGGCCCATAATAATAATAATAATAGTACCTCACAAGTCTAAATCGGAAGAGTTTAAGTTCAGTTATTCAAGTTTTTCTTATAGCAATCTTTGAAAAAAGTTAAAAAAACATCATCAAAAATCTCATTGTTACGATACCGTTCAAATTTTTTTATATTTTTTATACCCGAGCTCACTTTTGCACAAGGGTATATTAATTTTATTCGCATAACGGTTGTTTGTAAACGCCACAACGAATCGAGATAGATATAGACAAATGTATACGTAAATGCTCAGAATGAATAGAGAAGTCGTTTAAGCCATGTCCGTCCGTCTGTCCGTCCGTCCGTGTACACGATAACTCGAGCAAAAATTGAGATATCTCAACGAAATTTGGTATGTAGGTTTCCATTAATCCAAGCTAGGTTGTATTGAAAATGGGCGAAATCGGACTGTAACCACGCCCACTTCCCATATAACGGTAATTTCCAGAAATAC